TAGGCAATAAGACAGTGAAAGCAGGAGCTAGTTTTGAAAAATGTCTGTGCAAAAGAGGAAAATGTCAAAGAGATGATGATAGAAACATGGGTTGGATCAAAGAGGGTCATGGTCATAATACCTAACATTTACATCCACTGGATTATATGCCAGGGGCTTCTCTGAGCACTTTGCCATGTGTATGTAAGATCAGTTGAATGTATTTATGTAAGTCTACTTCTGGGCTTTCTGTTCTGTTTCGTTGATCTGTTTGCCTATTCTTTTGCCAGTACCACACTGTCTTATTTACTATAGCTTCCTGATAGGTCTCAAAGTTTGGTAGTGTCAGTCCTCCAACTGTTTTTCCCCAATATTGTATTGGCTATCCTGGATCTTTTGCCTCTCTTTATAAACTTTAGGATCATTTTGTTAATATCCATAAAATAACTTGCTGGGATTGCTTTTGGAATTATGATGAATATGTGGGTCAAAGTGGGATGAACTGACATTTTGTCAATATTGAGTCTTCCTTTCCATGAACATGGAATCTCTCATTTAGTTCTTTGATTTCTTTCATCAGAGTGTTATAGTTTTCCTCGTATAGATCTTTTGCATATTTTGTTAGATTTATACCTAATTATTTCATTTAGTGGAGTGCTAATGTAAATGGTATTATATTTTTGCCTCAAATTCCACTTATTTCTGACATAAAGGAAAAGTGGTTGATTTTTGTATATTAACTTTGTACCTTAGAATTTGTTTTTTTTTTTTTTGGAGACGGAGTCTCCCTCTGTCACCCAGGCTGGAGTGCAGTGGCCGGATCTCAGCTCACTGCAAGCTCCGCCTCCCAGGTTTACGCCATTCTCCTGCCTCAGCCTCCCGAGTAGCTGGGACTACAGGGGCCCACCACCTCGCCCGGCTAGTGTTTTGTATTTTTTAGTAGAGACGGGGTTTCACCGTGTTAGCCAGGATGGTCTCGATCTCCTGACCTCGTGATCCGCCCGTCTCGGCCTCCCCAAGTGCTGAGATTACAGGCTTGAGCCACCGCGCCCGGCCTTAGAATTTGTTTTTAATTGTTTATTAGTTCCAGGGGTGGTTTTTGTTTGTTTGTTTTGTCCTTTCAGATTATCTGTTTACACAATCATGTCATCTGTGAACAAAAGCAGTTTTGTTTCTTTCCTCCCAATATATATACTTTTTATTTCTTTTTCATTTTATTGCTTTAGCTAGGACTTCTAGGATAATATTAAGAAGCGTGGTGAGAGGGGCATCCTTAACTTTATTCCCCTGATCATTTGAGTTTTTCATCATTAAGTATGCTATTAGCCATAGGAGTTTTTTTTTTTTTTTAAAGATATTCTTTATCAAGTTGAGGAAGCTTCCCTCTACTTCTAGTGTACTGAGGCTATTTATCATCAATAGGTATTGGATTTTGTCAAATGCATTTTCTGCATCTATTGGTATGATCACATGATTATTCTTTAGCCTGTTGATACGATGTAATGGTTTAATTGATTTTTGAATGGTTAACCAGCCTTGCATGCCTGGGATGAATTCCACTTGGTTATGATATTCTTTTTATTCATTGTTGAATTCAACTTGCTAATATTTTTGCTTTTATGTTTATGAGCAGTATTGGTCAATAATTTTTATTTCTGTAACTGTCTATATCTGGTTTTGGTATTAGTATAGTGCTGGCCTCATAGAATGAAGAAGGTATTCCCTTTGCTTCTGTTTTCTGAAAGAGTTTGCAGATAATTGGTGTACAGTTGTCCTTTGGAATCTGCAGGGGGATTGGTTCCAAGAATCCCACACATATACCAAAATCCAAAGATGCTCAAATGTTTTATATTAAATGGTGTGGTATGTGCATATAACCCATGCATATCCTCCTTTATATTGTAAATCATCTCTAGATTACTTATACCTAAGATAATGTAAATGTTATGTAAATAGCTACTACCTGGATTTTTATATATACTATTTTTATTGTTGTATTGTTATTTTTCTTTTTTTTTTTTCCAAATATTTTTGATCCATGGTTGATTGAATCCACAGATGTAGAACCCACAGATACAGAGGGCTGACTGTAACTTCTTCCTTAAATGTTTAAAAGAATCCACCAGTCAATTCATCTGGGCCTGGGGCTTTCTGTTTTGAAAGTTATTAATTATTCAGTTTCTCTGACAATATAGGACTATTCTGATTGTCCATTTCTTGTGTGAGTTTTGGCAGATTGTGTCTTTCAAGAAATTGGTACATTTCATCTACATTGTCACAGCTGTGGGCATAGAGTTGTCTATAATATTCATTGATTATCTTTTAAAAGTTCATGGGAACTTTTGTGTGGAGGAAAAGTTAAATATTAAATTTGAACTGAATTGAACTTGGACACAAACAATGGTCACCAAGTCCTGGAACAGGTTGTGTGAGCCCCTTGAGGTGTTCTTCCAGCACTGTTTCAGAGAAATCTCTATTTCAATCTATTCCTATACCTTGGTTATTGAAAAGCAATAGGCTGGGTGCGGTGGCTCACACCTGTAATCCCGGCACTTTGGGAGGCCAAGGCGGGTGGATCACTTGAAGTCAGGAGTTCAAGACCAGCCTGGCCAACATTGCAAAACCCCATCGGTACTAAAAATACACGAATTAGCCAGGGACGATGACGGGCACCTGTAATCCCAGCTACTCAGGAGGCTGAGGCAGGAGAATCACTTGAACCCAGGAGGCGGAGGTTGCAGTGAGCCGAGATCGTGTCACTGCGCTCCAGCCTGGGCGACAGAGCAGGACTCATCCCAAAAAAAAAGAAAACCAATAGACAATCATAAAAACAAGTTGACCTTTTTGTGTTCCTTGAGCACAGTCACCAAGGGCCTTCGTGACTGGACCTCCTGCCAAACCACTCGTTACAAAAACAGCTAGGTTCCCACGCTGCGCCGAAGCTTCATGAGACCTCTCCTTGTCTGTGTACAGACAAGTGGCTGACTATGGTGCCCAGGCTGTTGCTTCCCAGTCTGGTGGTTGTTAGAAACAAGTGCTCGGAGCCACAAAGTGAAACCAGCACTCAGGCAAAAAGCGTTCTCAGCAAGGCAATTTACTTCTGCAGAAGGGTGCTCCCTGCATCAGCCACGATTGCAAGAGCACACTGAACAAATAGGGTAGATGCGCAATTCGCAAGGGAGTGGGTAGCAATTGTTCTTCTGCTATGGCACAAGACGTGTCTGGACATGTCTGGGCAAGTTAGGGCACGGCAAGAGCAGGAGGGCTGCTTGCAGGCTAAAAATGAGAAAGTACAAGGAGATAGGGCCTTCGAACCAAGGACATTACACAATGAAACCCTTCGAAGAGGAATTCACCACCTCTGGCATGGTGAATCCTCCATAGTCTGGTGAGTGCGGTGTCCAGCTCTGGAGCCCAGGCTGTTGCTTCCCAGTTTGGTGGTGAATCCTCCATAGTCTGGTGGGTGTAAAGACATTTATCTCTTTTTCCCTTCTCCCCTTCGCATGGCAATTTGCTTATTATATCATTTGCTTATTATATCAATTTGCTTATTTTATTAGTTTGCTTATTGTATCATTTGCCTGTTAAATCTACATATGGGATAAAGCTTGTTTACCTTTAAAAGTATTGTGTGTGTGCCTTTTCTTCTCTCGCGGGTCTCCCACCCAGAACAATCTGTACTGATATTCCCTCTTTCATTTCATTTGTTAGTAATTGGTGCCTTTTTTTTTCTTAATTAGCCTGGCTAGAGGCTTATTGATCTTTTCAAAGAAGCAGCCTTTTATTTTATTGATTTTTCTCTACTGATTTTCTGTTTTCAGTATCATTGATTTCAATTTTAACTTTTATTTTCTTTATTTGCTTACTCTGGATGTAATTTGCTCTTTTCTAGTTTCCAAAAGTCAAAGCTTAGATTACTGACTTTAGATCTTTCTTCTTTTCTAATATGTGCATTCAGTGATATAAATTTTTCTGTAAGCACTGCTTTCACCACATCCCACAAATTTTGATGTTGAATTTTCATTTTCAGTTAGCTCAAAATATTTTTTAAATTTCTCTTGAGATTTCATCTTTGACTCATAATGTTATTTAAAAAGTATTATTTGGCTGGGTGCAGTAGCTCATGCCCATAATCCTGGCACTTTGGAAGACTGATGCAGGAGAATTGCTTGAGTCCAGGAGTTCGAGACCAGCCTGGACAACACGGAAAGACCCTTTCTCTACAAAATAAAAAATAAAAAATATTAGCCAGATATGCTGGTAGGTGCCTGTGGTTCCAGCTACTCAGGAGGCTGAGATGGGAGAATCGCTTGAGCCCAGGAGGTTGAGGTTAAAGTGAGCTGTGATCATGCCACTACACTCCATCCTGGGTGACAGAACAAGACCCTATATCAAAAAAAAAAAAAAAAAAAAAAGTGTTGTTTAACCTCCAAGTATTTCTGGATTTTCCAGCTATCTGTCTGTTTCTGATTTCTAGTTTAATTCTGTCATGGTCTAACAGCAGACATTGTATGATTTCTCTTCTTTAAATTTGTTAAAATTTTTTTTTATGGACAAGAATATGGTCTGTCTTGCTGAACAATATATCTCTTTTTTTTGTAATGAATTGAAGACTCTCAGATTCATATGGAAATTTTAAAATAACTCTATTTTCTCTCAGTGATACATATTTTGCACTTGATTTCCAATTTATTCCATGATTTGTTCTCATAGTTAGGAGGGAGTCTTTCATTTTGATGTGGTGTTCCTACATATGCCAACCTAAGTCTCAGAAATGGCACCCAGAGTGGCATCTGTGGGAAATCTAGGCTGTCTTCATGAAATATATATGCACATTGGTGAAAGTTTTCAACATTATGAATCTGTACATGAACTTTTTAAAAAAATATTGGCTTTAGAGTCATACCTCATCAGGTAGGAATTTGTTAAAATGGGCAAACATTTAAAATTTCTCAGAGATTAACTAATAATTAACTTCTGTTATTTTTAAGTGTTACTTTTTTTTTTTCTATTTCATTTAGTTTTGTCAGCCTGGCGGGTGGCAACTGTCCAGAGAGAGGAAGCAGCCAACGTTCTTTGTGGTTGTCCTGACAGATATTGACTCAGATCGACATTACTGCTCATGCCTGACCTTCTATGAGGCAGAGATTAATCTTCAGGTACAAAAACCTTTACTAGCTAAAGTACAGTCGAAGGTACAACATTTAGGAATGTTTTTTATATGCCATATTTTTGTTAAAACTGCAAGTTTGAGTTTTATGGGCTAGCTTAAGAAGCATGTAGAAATTTTTATGTTTAAGGTTGGAGAGGAGAGCAACATGTTAAAATTACTTTCCAGATTTAATTGTCCTTTTTCAAAACATTGATCATAATCTGAATATTTCTAAAAATAGTGCATCCTTGAATTGGTTTATTAAGAATATTAATTTCTTCTCTTGGTGAACCTATGATTTTCCCTGCCAGCCCTTCTCCTGGGAGGTCTTTCATAGAATGTGGAACATTTACTCAAAATGTTTGCAAATCATAATTACAATGCCTGACATTATTGTTTAGGCATCCAAATGTTAACTCATTCTTCTTAGGGGTAATGTTATCAACATGATCAGGCAGAAATTCATAAGCTAGAACTATGAAGACTTAGAAAATAATTGCCCTTTCAGACTATTGGTTGAGGTTCTTAATTTCACACTACTGGCTCTACTTTCTCTAAGCAGAAAGGAGTCATAACAAAGTATTTGGCAGCTTATGAAATTTTAGGGGTGAGGGACAAGCAGGGAACCGATTCTGGGTACTAGGAACAGCCCAGCTTGGTGCTAGTCTCATAGAAACCATATTCCTTCCACCTTTTACCACTTGGCACTTATGATGCTGGGTATATATCAGACATTATAACCTTCACCATAGTTGTGCTAGAATATCCATTCTCCTGCAGATATTCACACTGCTGACTTCTGCTTTAGTCTCACACTGCTGACTTCTGCTTTTAAGTTTTACATGAGTTGTTTCTTTGGTGGAAGTAAGATTGCATATAGAGCCCATTTTGCCCCAAAAAATGAAGGGATTTTTTTTTTGTTGGTGCTGGTGTTGGTGGTTTTTCTTTTCAGGCTCTATAATACAAGAAGGAAACTGTAAAGGGGATTTGGAAGATATTGAGTAAGCCAGTTTGCATAATCTGCTGTAGTTTCTGCTACATATAGAGTATCACTACTGGGGGGAAAAGATTGGCCTGCTTTCTGAAATGGCTTAACAAAGGAGTGTTTGGTAGTTTTGATTATGTTTATTAAACTCTAAGATCTGAATTTTTTGGATGCAGAAATCTGATTTTTGAGTAAGAGGAGACAAATTACCTTTCATGATGCAGACTCATTATTCAAGTTCATTAGACTGATGTATTAAAACCAACATGCTAGATTACTAATTTATAGAGAATGTGAAAAGTGCTGAAAATGCATATAGAACAAAATATGCATCATCAGCACGTTGTCTTCCTGTCACCAGATCTTAGTAGAAAGCCATATCAAAGTATGGACTTTTGATTATGGAATCAAACTAAGGGATATTTGATGTTAAATACTTAAAGACTATCAGACGAACATAGCCTGTTGCTTCTATTTGAAATTAGAGATTATGTTATCAATGGGGACAGAAAACTTTAAGTGTGATTTAAAGTCTCTTCTCCCCTGGATAATGTGTGGATGTATGTTGCCAACAAATAGCTAATCAACTTCTCATTTTGATCAATTCAATCTGAATAAGTTAGAGAGTGTTCTCTACCCAAGAACCACTTTGTCTCTTTTATTGGCCTTTCATTTCTCTGTTGATCTTTAGCATTTAAGTTAATGCTGAGAATTCAATATTTTCTGTTATTTCCATATTCTTGAGGGTATTGCTTCACAACTCCTTGGAATTATCTAATGAAACTAACTATAATTATTTAGATTCTCCCTCTTCACTATTCACCGCTCCTCTTCTAGACAAACTATCAGAAAGGCAATATATTGACATTATATTAATAGCAGATGTTTATAAATAGGTTCTAGGAATTCTTGGGTATTTTTCAAACTTTTAATTTGGAAATAATTTTAAACTTAAAGAAAAGTTGCAAGAATAATGCAAACATGTATATAGCCTTTACCCATATTCACCTGTTGTAATATTTTGCCCCATTGATTTATTTGAGGTCTTTCTTCCCTACCCTTCCTTTCTTCCTTTATCCCTTTTTCCCTCTTCCCCTCCCTTCCCTCCCCTTCTCCCCCATACACACACACACAGTTTATTTTTGCTGAACCATTTGAAAGAAAGTTGCATGTATCATTTACCCTTACCCTAAATTCTTTAGTATATGCTTCAGAGGTACGTGAACAGTATGTAAACAGTACAGTTATCAACCTCAGGAAATTTAACATCAATATAATAAAACCTACCATCCATGTTCCAGTTTTGTCATTTGACCTAATAATGTCCTTTATAGCACCCCCCATCCCTTTTTTCTTCCAGTACAGGATCTAGAACATACTACATATATTGCATTTAGTTGTCATTTCTCTTTTGTCTCTTTCCACGTGGAATAGTTGTGCAGCCTTTCTTTGTCTATAATGTGGACATTTTTAAATAATGTAACTTTTCACCCCCATTTTTTTTTTTTTTTTTTTTTGAGACAAAGTCTCGCTCTGTTGCCCAGGCTGGAGTACAGTGGCCGGATCTCAGCTCACTGCAAGCTCCGCTTCCCTGGTTTATGCCATTCTCCTGCCTCAGCCTCCCGAGTAGCTGGGACTACAGGCGCCCGCCCCCATTTTTAATACAATGTTTCTTATTTTGCGTTTGCAATGTCTCTCATTGTTAGTTTCAGGCTCTGCACCAACAGTTGGAATATTACCTGTGTTCCTTCTAAGGGACTCTTTCTTTTTTCTTTCTTTTTTTTTTTTTTTTTGAGACAGAGTCTTGCTCTGTCGCCCAGGCTGGAGTGCAGTGGCCGGATCTCAGCTCACTGCAAGCTCCGCCTCCCGGGTTTACGCCATTCTCCTGCCTCAGCCTCCCGAGTAGCTGGGACTACGGGCGCCCGCCACCTCGCCCGGCTAGTTTTTTGTATTTTTTAATAGAGACGGGATTTCACTGTGTTAGCCAAGATGTTCTTGATCTCCTGACCTCGTGATCCGTACACAATGCCTATCTGTCCCTCATTGATGATGTTAATTTTGGTAACTTGGTCAGATGATTGTCAGATTTCTCCACTTTATAGTGGCTATTTTTATGTTTGCAATTAATAATCAGTCTACTGGAAGGCATTCTAAGACTATGCAAATATCCTACTATTCATCAATCATGTTCCCCTAGATTCAGCATTTACTAATGATTCTTGTCTACAGCAATTTTGATACTGATAACAAAAAATGATTATTTTCTAACTCCATACTCCCTCTATATTTAGCAGTCAGCAGTCGACCTTTTACTATAAGCTAGAATTCTCTCTTCCTGTCTATTTGAGCTATAGACTCGTGGATTCAGGTTTTTTCCCCCAATAATATATAAATCATTAATGCTTTTTATTATTTTAATGCACAAATTATCCCATATTTGACCAGCGTGCACCACTCAGACAGATTTCCGTGTTCTTTTCACAGATGTCCTTTTAGAAAAAGTACTTTTTAACTTTTCATCATAACGAGTTGATCTAGGATCATTTTATTCCTTCCCTGCCTCTGCCTTGAAATCAGCCATTTCTTCAAGGAGTCTGGCTGTTTTGAGTAGGGAATAATATTAGAAGCTAAGATCTGGGTTCTTGTGTAGTTTGAATCTGTATGTCAAAAGTTATTTCTCTTTTTAGCTTAGATATTTTCCTACTTGCTATTTTCAGTGGACCCAGAAATAATAATTTATTTTTTACGATCACCTTACAGAAGGTTACAGTCTGCTTCATACCAGATTTTTCCAAGATTCTAAAAATGTAGATAGATTGTGAGAATTCTGGATTCTATGTAATTGTACTTAAGTACTAGCCAGAATTGTAAGATCACTTTTCTGGAAACATAAGTTAATGTCTTTTGGGCTTGGTCGGAAAGAGGGACAAACAATGAGGCAGAATTTGAAAAAAAAAAAATAGAACCCAGAAGATGTTTCTTTCTTGGTCATCAGTAAAGTTGTTTTCATTTTTGGCATGAACTGTTTACGTCCCTTTAAAAATGTGTTTTTCTTTTCTTTTTGGATCATATCATCAGTTCATAATAGATCTTTTAATTCTTGTTTGGTGTGAATTACTTCATACCAAATATACTATGACACATTATTTGGAATCCTAAAGAGGGGGAACTTAGGGACATACACCATCCAAAATATGATTGTGCAACTTTAAAAATGTTAGCTCTGTTATCTTTCCAAGATACAGTAACACTGTCAGTAATCATAAGCAAACCTTTGGCATTAAACTTTTGATAATATGTTCCCAAAATTACTCAACTAGGTAATGTGATCCTAAATTTTTTTAAGTAATCAGTAAAATATGATAGATTTACGTTGACTTTTATGACTTAACTAAATAATAAGTTGATTATCTTAAAATATATTAAGTATAAAATTTTAAATATCTAAAATTTAAATTTAGTTCTGTATCTTTTTAAAGTTATTTCATATGTTTATATACTTGTCTCTGAATCAGTGATAATTATGCAGTTCTCAGTGAGAACATTTGGTATGTCATCAAATTGTCATCAAAGAAAGAGGGAATGAATTTTGTCATTTCGAGAGATAAGATGAGAAAAAAAGAGGGAGAGACATAGAAAGCATGAGATACGTTTCTCCATCTCAGTGGGCTTCAAATCTAGCTTGGGAAGCAGAACCAAAACTTAAGTACAAAAACATTCCAAAGTACCATATGCTAAGTATCATTCAGTGAAATAGATAATAATTGCAGACCAAGCAACTGGAATAAATCATACGGAGTTTAAAAGACTCAGTGGACATTTTAATAAGAGCCAACACCTAGAGTAAGGGAAAGAAAAAGAACAATTCAAACAAAAAGCCTGTGAAAAGGAAAAAAGATTGTAGTGCTTATGCTAAATTAAAGTCTTACATTCTGGGCACTGTGCTAAAAGTTTCACAACACTTTATTTCATTCTGTTTTATTTAACTCACATATAGTTTATTCTCACAAAACAGCATTTGA